CTTCCTTCCTTCCTTCCTTCCTTCCTTCCTTCCTTCCTTCCTTCCTTTCTTTCTTTCTTTCTTTCTTTCTTTCTTTCTTTCTTTCTTTCTTTCTTTCTTTCTTTCTTTGATAAATGGCACCTTAAAAAGAAATGTTCTTTTTCTGGACTGTCTCCTCACTAAAACTGTGTGTGGATCTGGAGTTTTAAAAATTATTTAAAAGTCTCGTGTGGTGGTGCATGCCTTTAATCGCAGCACTCAGGAGGCAGGGACAGGTGGATCTCTGTGAGTTTGAGGCCTGCCTGGTCTACAGAGCCAGCCAAGGCTACACAGAGAAACCTTGTCTTGAAAAACCAAAACAAACAAACAAAAAAATAAGAGCGAGAGCTAGAAAGAGAGAGAAAGCAGTAACTATCTTGGAACTTTGAGCAGTACCAAGCCTATTCAATCCTCAAAAAATATCTAGGAATTTAAGATCTGTTTCTACTTCCGCCATTCTGGCATAGGAAATTTGCTCAGAGCTAAAACTCTGGTTTTGTTTTGTTTATTTGTTTAACTTTTCGCTTTATTCTACGTATATGGATGTTTTGACTGCAGGCCCCATATGTGTGGAAGTGCTTACAAAGACTAGAAAAGGATGACAGATCCTCCTGATCTGGTGTTACGATTGTGAGCCGCCAAATGGGTGCTAAGAACTGACCTGGGTCCTCTGAAGAGAGGCAGGTGTGCTCTTAATTACTGAACCATCTCTCCAGCCCCTAACCAAAGTGTTTTGGGGTCAGTGTTCACATTCAACTATTATTGGCCCTCCGGAGCATTTTTTAAAATAATTTGTTTAATTTTATTTTATGTGCATTAGTGTAAAGGTGCCAGATTCATTGGAATTGGCATTACAGACAGTTGTGAGCTGCCATGTGAGTGCTGGGAATTGAACTAGGATCCTTTGGAAGAGCAGACAGAGCTCTTAACCACCGAGCCATCTCTCCAGCCCCCCTCTAGAGCTTTTAAATCACTTATGTTGTATCATACTTTTTAAATCTGTTTCAGTGCCATAGTTTTTGGGTTTTGCCTGGCTCCTCACTATCTTGATATGTGCTCAAAGGACTCCCGATTATCTGGGAGGTGAGGAACGATCATAAGGCACAGGGTTCAATCCCAAGCAGCAAAAAGAAAAAGGAAGTTGGAAGTCAGGGCATGAATATGATTAAGTTTTTGTTCGAGAACAGCAGCCTGAGAGAGTCAAGACATTGTGCAGTCTCCATGAGATGATTCAACAGGCTTTAAGCAACTGAGTGCTTACACACAAAGTTTGCTTCTCAAGCTTTAGATGTATACTCATAACTTGGGGGGGGGCTGTTAAAATACATATCTAGATTCAGGAGGTTTGGGGTGGGGCCTGAGATGCTACAATTCTAACAAACTTAGAAATGCTGGTGTTGCTGGGTCTGGAGAATATACTTTTGAGTAACAAAAATATATTAAAGAAATATTAGGACCTCTGAGAGAGCTCAGTAAAGTGCTTGCTACAAAAGCATGACAGTCTGAGTTCTGGTCCCCAGCACATGTAAAAGTCTGGTCCATCTGTATGTGTGTATTCTCCACCCCACCACCTTCTCCCCTCCCCCAGAGGGCCAAGTAGATCCCACAGGCTCAATGGCTAGCCATCCTAGCAGAAATGACGACTCTAGTTTCAGTGAACAATGCTGTCTCAAAAACTAAAGTGGACAGTCACAGAGGAAAACACCTGAGGTCAGTCTCTGGCCTCCACAAGCACACACACATGCATACACTTTACACATATAAAGGAACCAAAAGAAATCTTATATATATTCATATACATTAAACTTTATGGGAATTTGTGACTGAGTAGGTGGTGTTACATTCAAGAGTGAGGTAAAATACATATTGAATAAACCTTCTACCACAAAGCTACACCTCTAGCCTAAAAAGCAACTATAGACATGTTTCCAGTTTGTATCTGTGTGAAGGTAATATTATCCACTAGTTACAAGATGAGGAACAGGTCTGGGTAGGGTAGAGAGCAATAACAGAACATTTATTGGGTACATAATATACTATGCACCAGGCTCTTTGTGTGTTGTTTTATTTATTCTGTAGGATACATTTATGAGGTGGATATTATTGCAATCCCTCATAAGCCTGGGGAAATTGAAGCTAAGGCTTTTATCAATTAACTGTTGGTAGTTTGGCTATACATAGTTAATGTAAATGTGGAGACCAGAGGGCGGTCTGTTGTGCAGTAGATATGCTGACCTGGGGCTTGAGAAGTTATTCTTGGGCCAGTGAGATGACTCAGAAGATAAAGGTGCTCGCCACAAAACCTGATGACCTGAGGTTGCTTTCGGAACCCACATGGTAGAAGGAGAAAAAGAATTCATCAGTGACTTTCACAACCATGGATGCTGTAGGCAGGCCCTCCCCCCACCTCATCCTGCACTAGATAAATGCACAAACAGAATTAAAAGAGTTATTCGGAGCAACAGAGATTTGGGAAGAATTAAGACTTTTTTTTTTTTTTTTTTTTTTTTTTTTTTTGAAAGCAGAGTGTTCTGTAGCTCCTCATGCCGGCCTCGAGCTCGTTTTGAAGCCAAGAATAACCTCGAACTTCTAATTCCTCTGCTCCCACCTTTTGAGCACTAGGAGCATTGATGTCTACCGCCGCTCTGACGCTAGTTTTTAGCTTTTTAAATAAGTAACTTTATCCTCTGATAAGGTATTACTAGTTTGTTCTTTATTCCTAAAATGTATCCACTTTTGGCAGCTCTAGCGATGGCTCAGCAGTTAAGAGTGCTTGGCTGCTCTTGCAGCGGACCTAGGTTCAGTTCTCAGCATTCACATGACAGCTCCGTAACTCCAGTTCCAGCACCGTCTCCTGAACTCTACCGGCACCAGGCAAACATTTACACTCAGAGAATAAAGAGAAATAAATCTTTTTTTAAAAAAATGTGTCCAATCTTTAACAGTAGTCTCCAGGGTCAGGATCCTGGAGGAGACTCTCCAGCCGCAGGGCAGATCAAGGTGGTGTCCCTACAGATATGCAGAGCATTGCTTTTAGTCTCTGCTTACATACTGTCCCGTGGGCAGTGGGCAGTTCATGGGGTTCTGGGACTGTCTGGTTATTTTGAGTGAGTGATGTCACTGGATCTGGTTATCAGGAGCAGCCTTGGTTGCAGTGGGGTTGCTGACTAAGCTATTTTTATATGTCTAAAAGGCATTTTTTTTTTGGGGGGGGTCGTGTTTCGAGATAGGATTTCTATGTGTAGTCTTGGCTAGCCTGAACTCGCTTTTTAGACCAGGCCTGGCCTCGAACTCGCAGAGATCCTCCTGCTTTTGCCTCCCCAAGTGTTGGGATCACAGGCGTGCGCCAGCAGGCCCGGCTTAAAATGTTTGTTTTTGTTTTTAACTATGCTCATTACAATGTGAACATATCCTTCCGGGTCTGGGTCATGCTTTTTTGTTTCTGTCCCAGTCTGAGGGTCTAAGTTCATCAGTGTGCGGTGAATTCCTAGAGGCCTGTCTCAGGGGTCCAGCGGGTGGTGTGCAGAGTCCTCTGGTCTCACGCCATGTCCCCGGTCTCGCGCAAGTTCGTTCCAGACCAGGCACAGCAGTCGGACAGCCGTGGTGATCTGGGGGGGAGGGGGGTCGTTACGACTAGGTTCCAACCTGGCTTCCAAAAGCCACCTAGCTCTCTAGACAGCCACCGCACGTGACGGCCCTCCCCCGCAGCCGCAGTGCTCCTGCCCTAGCTCGCTGCTTCCGCCGGCCCGCGGGGCCCCGCCCCTCTCTGCCACGAAGAGCCAATCAGCACGCACGCCCTTGACTCCGCCCCAGCGGCCCTCGACGCGAGCCCCTCCCTCCTCCCACTCGCTGCCCGCCCGTCAAGCAGGAAGGCAGGCGGTGTTCGGCTGGTGCTCGGTTCTCTTGGCTGTGTTGTCCTCCTTCCTGGTTCCCGGTCACCGGCGGCGGCGGCGGCGGCGGCGGCTGCACGGACGGCGGCGCGGTCCCTGCGGGAGGGGCAGCACTAACCAAGCGGCAGCCGCGGAACAGCGAGCCCAACGCGGCGGCGGCGGCGGCGGCGGCGGCGGCGGCGGCGGCTGGGCAGCCAACATGGCGGCGGCGGTGGCGGCGGGTCCGGAGATGGTCCGCGGGCAGGTGTTCGACGTGGGGCCGCGCTACACCAATCTCTCGTACATCGGGGAAGGCGCCTACGGCATGGTTTGGTGAGTGCGCTGGTTTGCAAGCCGGGCCGTCCCCGGTCACCCTGTGCCCCTGCCCTGTGGCTGCTCTGGACGCGGACGCGGCCCTTCCCGCGCCTCGGCCTCGGCGTTCCACGACGACCCGGACCCCTGGCTCCTCCTTGGCCCCCGCTCCAGGAGCCCCGGGGCGGGGTCGCGGAGCCCGGCGAGGCTTAGGTGTTTCTGGGGTGCTTCCTGATCTGGCCCTCGTTGCCGTTGGAGGGGCGCCCCAGACTGAGGCCAGGACCCCAGGACTCCCGGACTGGGTCCCAAGCGTGTGCTTTGGATGCTTCTCCCTCGGGATGGGAACGGAAGTGCACCGTGTCCCCTAATTTATAGCATGATAGCCGCCTTCCTGTGACATTCGATTGTAAAACCAGGAATTCCATCAGATGCTTGTCCGCGGCGGCGGCGGCGCCCGCCGTTTTCCAAACCAGAATCCTCGGCTTGTGTGCTGCTGAACACAAAAATATTTTACTCAACCCTTCCTTCTGTACGTGAACAGCATTCACAAAATAGCTTCAGCACAGCTAATGATGCGTTCCTGCTCAGGCTTTCTAAAAAGCATTAATGAGACCAGCGCTGGTTGTGGGCATATTGAGATCTTGAAGTTTCAAAATGGATTTAAACTCACCGGTTTCGTTTCAGAAAGGATAAGCAAACATCACTCTTAAGAGCTAAGATGTATTCGGAATTGGGCCTAATTTGACGTTAAATTACCCCTTCGTGACTCTTCAAGAGCGCTCAGTTAACAACAGTGTGAGTGTATCCATATGTTTTGGCCCGGTTTGTGTGACCAATTCCCCTTAACGTTTTAGCATTCTGGTATATATACAGCCCTAGTAGTTGTTACACGGTCACTCGCAGGATTTCTCACCTGCTTGTGGAATGACGAGAGAGGAATCGTCTTTATTAGAACTGTGGAAAGAAAAGGTAACCTCTTTCGGATGAGGTATTGAAAGTAAGGCTTTTTCCCAAGGTCACAGAACTAGAATCAGACGTTGATCATAGACAGATCCTGTTTCAAGTGCTGCAGCTCTTCATTCGTTGCACACGCCTTTCCCTGGTAGTGTTAATAATCTCAGGATTTTAGCGTATTTTCTTGATGAACAAGTCTATTTCAGAAATGCACTCAAATTTGAATGGTCGTAATTTTAGAAATTCCAGGAAAGATGTGTTTTCACCAAGTATGTCAACTAGATAGAATAATTAACGTTCTTATTTATTTTAAAGACTCATGAATAGTTATATTCTTTATGAGCAAAATGTTTCATAGTGTACAGTTAGGAAGATAAAAGTGAACTGGCCCTGGGAGTCAAAAGAAATTAAATTAGACCTTACACAGGAATGGAGGAAAAAGTACTTATGTCTTCCACTTATGTCTTGCACCTGCTGGTAAATATGCCAGTAACTGTCTTCTAGATACCCATGATTGCCCACCATAGTCTCAGTTATTTTTTAATATTAATATTTAATATTTATATTAATATTTAATTTATATTATAAATATACTATATAAATTTATATAATTTAATTTATATTAAATTATAATAATTTAATATTAATATTAATATTTTTTAATTAGCTTACTAGGAAGGGGGCCACAGCTGGGATACAAAGTGAATAAATAATTAATAAAAAAATAAGTAAAATTTAAAAATTAGCCTATTCTAAATAGGGACAAGAAATTTAAGCTATGTCAGTTGACTGCCACCCCTGGCTGATAAGATGGATTGTTTAAATCCTGTTGCTATGGCTGCTGTGAAGGAGCTTGACCTTTGAAGTTTCGCTGTGAAAAGTTTTCTTTAAAATTAAAATTTTAGGAGCTGGAGAGATGACTCATCAGTTAAGAACTCTGTCTGCTCTGGGTTCGATTCCCAGTACCCACATGGCAGCTTACAACTGTCTGTAATTCCAGTTCCTGAAGATCAGTTGTTCTCTTACACATGGATTTGAGCAAAACACCTATGCTCATGAAATAAATAAAATTAAATGTAAAAACACTTTTTGTTTGTTTGTTTGCTTTTTGAGACAGGGTTTCTCTATGTAATAGCCCTGGCTGTTGTAGAACTCATTTTGTAGACCAGGCTGGCCTCAAACTCACAGAAATCTGCTTGTCTCTGCTTCCCATCTAGTACCTATAAATTTTAATTTCAAGAAAAATGCAGGTATAATTAGAATTTCAATTCTGGTGTCAGCCTTTTAGCTCCAGGTTGATAACTTAGTATTTATTCTTAATTGTAGTTCATTAATATTTGATCAGTGCTGAGCTTATGGAGGCTTCGTGGCTTGAATGTATCCTTGAATATTTGTGATCTTTAAAAAGCTTGAGATATGGCATAGCTGTTACAAGTACCTGCTGCTCTTGCAGAGAACCTAAAGTTCAGATTCCAGTATCTACATTAGGTGACCCTCTGGCTTCCCAGGGCATCTGTATATGTACTGAGTAGAAAACTCTCAAGGGATACTGAAAGATTTAAATTTAAAAATAAAGCTTTAAAAATTATTTAAGGGATTTTCAGCTATTTTTTTAGCAGGATTTCCCTAAAGCAGTTCATCATACGAAGACAAAAAGATAAGATTGGGTGTGAATGGGGGCTTGGTTTGCCAGATAGCTTGCTCAGGGTTCCTTCAGGAATTCAATTCCTAACAGCCTCTAACTCCAGCTCCAACATGTCCCTGACCTCTTGTGGATTCCTGTGTATGTGCACACACACACACACATCAAATTTTAAAAAATGTTTTTTAAAAGAATAAGACTGAGTTTTGAGTTGGATATTTAAGAGTGGGTGTGATTTTTTTTTTTTTTTTTTGATAGGTAGATAATAGGAACAAGTAATAGCTTGCGCTGTTGAGTCTAATCTTAGAAAAGTACTAAGGTGAAAAACTATAGAGGACTCCATAACAAAAGTAAGTGATTTTTATTTGTTCAGTGGAAAAGAAAGCATTGAAGTTTTTGAGAGTCGGTTGTGGTCAAATTTTAAATTTAGTGGTGATACAGCAGCCAGAACATTGTAGAACTTTCAAGGTGCAGTAATTCAGTGTCAGTGGAGATGACTCTTTAGCAGACACAATCAGTCAGAAGAGCTCTTGTGGAAAGCAATAAGAGACTTAATGAAGGCAAGGGCAAAAGCAAGAGCCGTGGTAGTTATCAGGTAAGAATCCAAGAAAGATGGGTTTAGGTTTGAAGATGGCTGAGCTAAAATGAGACAAGGCTTAGTACTGGTGCCATAATTGAACAGAAGGGGATATGGTAGGCAGAGCAGTTTTGTGATTGTTTTGTCAGTTAAGTTTGTAGACCATTCATGGCTACAGAAAGCACCTTGAAGTTTGTCACAAGAGAGCAGGAGCTAATGATGAAAATTTGTATACAGAGGCTTAGAGCAATGACTCAGCCTTAAGAGTATTTGCTGTTCTTGTAGAGGGCTGGGGTTCAATTCCCAGAACCCACATGATGGCTTACAACTGCCCTTAATTCTGGTTCCGGTGGATCCAACCTCTTCTGGCTCCACAGGCACCAAGTATGTACATGATGCACAAACATACAAGTAGGCAGAATACAGAAAAAATAAATCTTTTAAAAAAGAAAACTTTATACAGTGAGTAATAGCTAAAATCATGAGCGGAGGAGCACTATTATTTGAGGCATTAAATTCTTAAAATTGTGAACATGCTTGTTCAACATTAGCAGATTTTTCAGAGGGATTTTTACAGGTTCAGGAGAAATTAAAGCATCACTGCCAAAGAGAAGCCTGAGAACCAGTGAACTGCATAGAAGAATGACAGAAATGAGAAGGAAGAAGTGCGGTTGTCTACTGAGATAACCATTTATTGTGAATAAGTTCAATTTTTTTAAACTGTGTGTGCACACATGCATGCGTGTGTGCTTGGAGGCCAAAGGAGGGAGTTAACAGGCGTTTGTGAGCCACTAGATGCTGGTACTGAAAACTGAACTGGAGTTTTCTGCAAAAACAGCAAGTATCCTTAAACCCTGAGCCAATCTCTCCAGCCCTGGATACATTTAATTTTTCTGTGTTTCTGTATATGACAGAAGGGTTGGAGGATTCTTAATTTAAGGTCAGGCTAATGGAAGTGGTGAGAAAAGATCTGAGAACTGAAGTAGGGGATTATCTGCCTGTGGGTACCAGTGAAAGGCAAGTCATGGGGAAGATAGGAACTGTGGTCAACGGGACCAGCAAAGCAAGACTTGGTATTGTCACGGGAGCCCAAGGACATGGCAGTCCTTAAAAGGTTACTTATTACAGAGAGCAAAAGAATGCAAATGACGACTCCTAACCAAAAAGGTGGTTCCTGTTAGAGTTCTATTTTCCTTTTCCTGATAGTGCAGTGTTCTGTTCTTTTAAGATTTTATGATGAAGACATTCACTTATGTCACTTACGCTGCACTTTTTTGTTGTGTGTATGGCTAAGAAGTATGTATCAAATCTAGAGCCCGGTGCACACCTCTAATCCCAGGCAGACCTCTGTGAGTTCCAGGCCAGCATGGTCTACAGAGCCAGTCCAGGATAGTCAAGGCTACACAGAGAAACCCTGTTTCTAAAAAAGCAAAAGAAAAAAGTATGTATTGAATCTAATCCTCAAGCAACTGTGAAAGTGTTTAATTTTCTTTTGTTCTTTTCTGTGGGGTGATTTGAAGGCATTTAGGTAACTTGCTCTAGGACATAGCTGGGAACATGATAGAGGTTAGGAGTATGACTCAGTGGGACATGACTGAGCTGGGAGTATGACTTGGTGGTATAGGGCTTGGGTCTGCTATATGTGAGGTGACGACAGTGCATTCTGTTTGCTTCCTGAGTGACATGCAAAAGATTATAGAGTTGGAGTTGGAATTAGGGCATTGGGAGTGTGGCTCAGTGTGGTGCTTTCTTAACATTCTCTGGGGTTCAACCCAATGTTCAATAAACAGGGAGGGAGGGTAAAGTTGAGAAAATGGATTCGGTAACAAAGATGTTATTTACTTTTTC